TTTGACACTGACTGTTTATTACGCATTACATGCATAAAACTGGTACAAAGGTTTTCTCCCTCACACTTCATGACATATACATCGGTATAAGCACTCTATCAGGGAGAGTTGGTGTTCATCTTTCCCTAGTATTTGCTACCATATTTTCTCATTATAACTTTAACCTGCTGTGTCAGGCCACTGATTTTATTAGACATTGGTCAGACATTTTCAGTTTATGTTCCTTGTACTAACCCATGTTCGTACCCTTTGCATATACATGCATTCACAATTTACATAAGCCGAATCTCATACAATTCATAGACATAAGCATAAACATCGGGCACCGCGCAAGATTTAGTGACTTTAGAAATTGAAACTCGAATAATCCTACCTAGCAACACTATGTGAAGGCTCCGAGTCGAATTTTCATGCAGGTGTATTTTCCTCTTAAATAATTACTAAACAATACTACTCTATTATATTCTGATTTTTGAAGGCAATATATGAGGATGCTGAAATCTGACATCTCAAAATAATGTCATTGGTTTGCTTTTAACTATTTTCGTAAGACCAAGTTCATTAAAAATTATAAACCGATTAACCCGTTGAATCTATTCATGGTTTAACGCGTTCAAATTTAGTTCAAAAACTGTGTAAGTTCTTACATGGATTTTGGAATTTTGTTTACTACTATTTATAATATCATGTAACTGATGACTCGGAGTATACTGTAATTTTTCAGTGATGTTTATTCAGTCATTTAGTCAGTTACAACGTAGGACCAGACACATATATGCATCAGTCCAAGTTGCCATAACTCATTTAACGAAACGAGATAAACACAAAATACAATGGTAGCAATGTATAAAAGAAAGATTGTGTATAAGGATATAGTACAGAAACAAAGAGTTAGTTCGTAGAAAGAAAGGCATAAAGTGGTTTTAATCTCACGGTTTAAGGAAAGACAAATAGTGTATACATCCATGCCATTGTGATCGATTGTGAGCCATGTCACACATAGTCTTCAACCATTGGTTAAGATAGTCGCACGGACCCCAACCAATTATTCTGCATCTACCAATATGGCACAGACTAGAAGTTAGTGTCTTCAAGGACTGATGCCACGTTTTGGTTTGGCCCCCCCTAACATAAGTAGTATGTATCATCAATCGAAAGTGAGATGCCTGACGGCAGAAGGTTAAGAAGATCGAAGGAAAGAGAAAGAGAATAGGGAGTGATTGATGTGAAAACCAAGAAACTGTCGAGTCTCGGACAATCGACTGGCATTTTGCAAATAAAGTATTTATTGTATGGCTCTCAAATTTTACTAACAGATTCTGTAATTTTATGTTTAAATACATTTAGTTGTACACGCCTATTTTCTTGTTCACCACAGTGGGACCAAGATGTTTTAATGACCTGTCAAATGTCTTTTTGAAGCTTCAAAAGAATCTTTCTACGAACTAATTCTTCTTTCTGTACTATATCCTTTCTTTTATATATTACACCATTGACTTAACTGTTTCTATGAATCTGGTGTTTAGCTTATTGTGCTAATAAGGTATGGCAACTTGAATTGATGCATATATGTATCTGGTCCTACGTTGTAACTAACTAAATGACTGACATACTACTTATATTTGTTAATATCAGTTGCACACATCATATCATGAGTTATTGCAAGTATTCATTTCTTAAATAAAGTAACGATTCTTTTTCGTTCAAACCTAATTTTATGATTAGATCAAAACATTTTACTAAATCAAATAACAGATTACTTATAACAACAATACAGATAACAATTTTACAAATGTTCAATTTGTACCTATCAAATATTAAAGAAAAAAGAAAATGAATACAATATGCTCTCATTTAGATCATTGAAATATTCAGTCAATTTAAAAGCTGCAATATATTTTAACAAAAATTGTGAATTAGATTATCTTAGATTATACAATGAAAATGTCGCATTCTGTAATCCGTTGACGTAAGATTCTGAGAAAAATTATTTCAGAAGAAAAATAAAAATAAATAAATTAAATGATTAATTAAAACAATGTCTGACATAAAATCAATTTCCCATAATCTGACATTATCACTACTTATATGACTGTCAACTATGTATTGCTATTTATTAATTAAATATTTTCTCTATGATACCCTCATTAATTTAAACTCCAGCTGAATGTGTCCGGTTGACACTTGTAATATAACTTATACTTCACAGTAAACTAAGGTGTTAGAGGTGTTGGACTAGTTAAGCTAAAAACTATATAACACCTCTAGAGAGAGAATATTGTTTATGTTGAATGCTCTTATAAAATTTACAAACAAATGAAGTTAATTAGTTACACAAGAATAAGAAATGTTGATTCACATATACTTAATAATAATATTTTTTCAAGATCTTTTAATCGAAACCAAGGATTGATTTAACCTTACTTGATATTTATGTGTCTATCAGTTGTAGCTATTGATTGTATTTAGGTAATTTTCGAGTCTAGTCATGGAAATGATTAGAAAAATCCTTATTTACATTTTTGGGGAAATGCGCTGTGTTTTATGCTTGCATGACTTAAATGTATTTCGGAAGTAAGAGACTAGCGGTTCGATTCCCAATCTATGATCTTGTTTAACTCTCCGAACCAACAGACATGGCCAAAACTAGCATCACTATGTAAAGCAGAAGGTGAAAACCTGAAAGCGTTAAGTGTACTAAGATACATACAAATAAAGTGTTCGGTGTGAGTAAAATACCTAGCAAAGACAATGAGAGATAGTCACGCGTTATTGTGGATTGATTGAAGCTAGACTTCTTTGTTATAGTATCCCAGCCTAATGGTGTTGAGCGCTCGTGTCCATCACCGTAGGTCCTAGGTTTTATCATCATTGGTGGGATCGTTAATGCACGATACTGAGGTGTCTTTTGACAGGAAAATAAGCCTATTCAATGCTTTCAGGATTTCCTTGGGTGTCTAACTTAGATCGACTTCTGATCCCATTAAAAACAATTTTAATAATTCAATGCTAGTAACATGTAAAGTCTATCGGAAAGGTATGGTACTCATCTTTCATATAATAAATTACTTTGGAGAAGACTACTAACTCCGATAATAAAATTCTCACCTCCAATATATTGAAATTAACGAATATTAAAACACTGTATCATTATCTTGTTAATAACATGAAAGTATGTAGTTCATTCAGAATAATTTTTGGATAGAATTTAATACCTAAAGCCATTCCACTGACTCAGAGATATCATTTTAAAGATGTTTCAAATGAGAATCAGGAACCTTATTTTTAAAATGAATTATGTTGAGTAGCTAACAAAATAATATGTTTTTCGTTACCTGGACAAATCTACATGGATTCTCAGAAAACGGAATTTTCCGTATTCATTTTCTTGGTATGACATTTTTATCATCATTCACAGAACCCAGTAACATTTTTTTGTAATTTTGCTAGTCATTGAATATGTGTTTAAACCATACTTCCTAGAAAAAGCAATTTGCAGTAGCTAAGTTAAGTGGAAACTTTTTAGTAAGGGTCTTCGGGTCACTAAATATTGATAACTGACGATCTGGTCAGAAATAGCTCCAAATCAATGCACATTATGTAAATAACACACTACTTCCCATGATATATATATTTTTAATGGTGTTCACTTGCCTAGTCAATACACTACTTATCTGGATATTTATCGATTCTGTATAGGTACTCTTACTGTAATCATCCTTTAAATATTTGACTAGAATTACTATGTTCTATTTCGTACCTTTTTCACTGGCTAGTTTGATATTCAGTAGTCGTTATTCAATAGTCACAGACATTTACAAACTACATATGTCTATGATACTTATTTCCATAAATTAAATTCAATAGTAAACGAAATTTGATCTCTCCATGATCAGTATTATTCACGTTTATCCGCAACTTTTGAGTTATTAATATAGACAAATATATCCATATATGCAAATGTTAAAAACACACCTAGTGAATTAGCATACAGTCCAAATACTGGTTCATATTACTCATATGTCATATAAAAGGTGGTTTCTAAATGACCAGCATCAGTTACAACCATTAGTAAATATAATTTCAACTACGTAGGATACTTTTTCTGAGTCCAGTCATTCTACTGTAAAGAATACAATATTAGCAAAAATTACCCATAAATGATGTTTCCTTTTTGAAAACTAACTGATTATAACTAACAGTTTTGGTTATTAGCTCATAACTCTGTGTATATTGAAAAGTCAGCAACTTTCATTTTACTGAACGATATCTACTTTGAAAATTTTAGGGGATTTATTATGAAAATTCATCAGTCATTATTAGAAATCAGTATGAGTTCTAGATAAATTATTCATTTAAAAGCAACTACTTACTAACATAGATGAAAATAACTTCAGATTAGCAACAAAATTGCTTCAGTTCTAACCCTTGTACGTTAGTAAAATAAAGACTGCTACAGCACTTTAATAGCCTATATATACAATAATGGAATAGTAAGCTATTTCTTTAGCATAGTAGACTCAAACTTAAATGAAAAAATTTCATCGACGAATAACATACAAACTACGGAGATGATTAAAATGGATGCAAAGCTCATATATAACTGTTGACTCTCATTTCTAAACAGAAAACATTTCAGAGAAAGTACATTGTATATTCTTACTAACATTTAACGTTTTTTTTGCCTATTGACTTAACATGAAGGCTGAAAGCAAAAACCGTCATCAAATGTTTAAAAACCAAAACGGAAAAAGGTTCATCAAGTTAAAAATTGTTTGAAACTTAGAAAAAACCCGGAAAGAAGTTCAATAGTGACAAATTCCTATCCATAGTGATCATCGTCTTTAGGCACATTAAGATTCAATAAATTCAATGAGATTGAATTGAATAAGATTCTATTCGTTTATAGTACATCAACACGAGGTTTTAATAACAGTGTAATTGCCTAACGAAAGTACAATTATATTTGATAAAATAATTATAAAAAACGTCTTACTCACTTTTACAGACATTTGCATCTTGAGTTGTAGCTCTGTCCCATGGTCTATCCATATAACCAGGTTTACAATATTCACAATCTTCACCAGATGTATGATGTTCACATGCACAAATTAGTTTACCATTTGATCCCAATATGCATTCACTTGCATGTCCATTACATTTACAACGTCCACCAATGGCTATATCAGCAAATGCATAAAAGTCTATTTCAGTTAAAATCTCAGGGTTTATAGTTGCATTGATGTTCAAATCAGTTTGGCTATCTATCTTATTAGTATGATTGATTACTTTTTGGGGTAATTCCGTAACGGTTTGACCATCTCTTGAATTTCGTGTTCGTTTGAATTGATACTTATTAAAATTATCATAAAAGTAATTTGATTGAAATAAGGGTGGTTTGTTTATAGTTTGTGAATTCTGTGTTAATTTAGAGTGATCAGATAGATGACTTCGATATGCATTTCTTTTAATACGATATTCTGGTTCGTTAGACTGATGAAAACTCATTAGGCTTATACGAACATCAGTCATAGTCATCCAATCAATCAATGCTGGACTCCATGGACGTGTTGCTGGTCGACCAAGTGTTGTGCTAAATGCAATAACCCAATCTGAAGGCACACCTATACCTCCGAAATTTCTAGTAATATTTGGTTTATTGAAAATATAACTGTTCATTGAACGAATTCTTCTACCTTGATGATTGTAATAACTTTCACGTGGTTGTAAAGCAACACATAATACCTCTTGTAAATTAGCAGATGTTATATGACTATTATGTTCATTTGATGTAGGTAATCCAAAAGCTCGATAACAATCCGTTGAAAAATAATGCCAAGGACGCCATGTACGACCAAAATCAGATGATTTATAAATTGCTATTGAATCTGGTATACTACCTAAACTACATGGTTGTAAAGATATATAATATACTTCAAAACGTTTTCCCAAAGATATAGTAAGATTAACAATTTCACCTGGTCGAATATATCCTGATGCCCAACATGTTTGATTTTCAATATCATGACGATCCGTTAAATATTCTGATGAAAATTTCCATTCAGTAGAATTCATACTACATAATTGACAATTTGTATTTGATCGACATAAATGTTGTGGTTGTTTTTCTCCACATGTAGAAGTTGCATAAACAGATACTCCACGTGATATATCTTTAAATGGTGGAGTACATTGAAATGATTGTGAACCAGATTGACACAATGTATTATATGAATGTATATCAATTAAGAAATTTCTTTTTAATCTTTCAGAATTATGATTAATTTTTTGATATGGATTATTTTGTTTTTTTAATATTTTTTCATTATTAGATTGTAATAGATAATTAATATTTTTGTTAAATTTTTCTTTATTTTGATTATTATTTTGTATTGCATAGATACATTGAATAATGATCAATAAATAAAATAACAATTTCATTATTAAACATTCGAATTTTAATAATTTTGAAAAGATTTATTTCTTTATTTTTGTTTTAATCGTTTATTTAACCATTGAGTAACCATGGTAACTGCTAACACATTAATGATATTTTTTTATAAAACCATGTAAACATTTCAAAAGTTTCTTCAATTAGAAAATAAAATTTGGTAAATTTATTTTGATTATCACTTGTAAAATGAGTTTATCATAATTTATTCAATTTCTTTATGGATATGATTAGTAACATGATGAATATTAACTAAAGTATGTGTCTGCCATACTATAAACAAAATAAGGTGTGTTACTATACAAGTGTGAATTTCATTATCTGCCAATGATATGATTTTGATGATAATTTTTTTTAATTTTTATTTTTAAGGGAAATTTCACTAACCCACAAATTTAAAAAACAAAAAGAAAAAATCCGTGTGTGAAAACAAAATTACGGGAAATAATGAACTTATGACAAATTATTTTACATTGACATGACCTAAATCATTACAAATTCATTGTAATTAATCTTCTAAGTGTTAATTTTGTTTAGTATAAATGTCTGGTAAAAATGTTATTTGTGACCTAAAGTTTGACCCCTGTATGAAATGAACAATATTCGGTATGTTTTTTTCATTAGCTATATATATATATGTATTCCTCTAATATTTTATTATCAGAAGGGATTTGTGGAGATTTTAGAAATTTTCACAGATTGAAATCATGGAGTTCTAGTGGGAAGCCGTTACCAGTGGAGTTCAACCAGGTCTGTTGTGAGAGATCAGCTCACTGAAGACAATGGTATATGGTGGCGCAACTTCGTGGATTGTTTGAAGTTAGACATTAACACCGTTGGATGCCGGCTCAGTGGTCTAATGGTTAAGTGCTCGCGCGCGAAGCCAATAGGTCCTGGATTCGAGCCCCGTGTGGTGCGGGATCGTGGATGCGCACTGGTTAGGAGTCCCATACTAGGACGAAACGGCCGTCCAGTGCTTCCAGGTTCTCAATGGTGGTCTAGCTTCAACTGACTCATAATATTTTATTCATGGTAAAAAATAAATTTATGCCATGTAGAAGTGTAAAAATGGTTGAATTCTCAACAAAAATGATTATTTCTTCAATCATTTTGACGTATATGGATAAAAAGGATTGTAATTGAGATAATGAAATGATCAATGTTAGATCATCGCTTAAAACCTGGAAGAACTGGATGGTCAGTTCATCCTAGTGGAGGCACACATCTTAGATCCCATACGTGTGACTGGAACTCAGGACCTTTGGTTTCGCACTTACTCTTAACTTTTAGAACACTTAATCGGCATCCAATGGATAATATTCATTGTTTTGAAGGATGCTTTGATGATCCTGAATCCATGAGATTCCTACTCTAAGTGCTTTTCTTGCTTCTTTGGACAGCGTCAGAGCAACTGCCTGCTTGTGTGTGTGGAGCATTATCTTCTTCAGAGTTCAACAACATCTCTCCCAGATCTGTCCTTTTCTGTTCAGCTTCGGTCAAATGTGTTTCACTTATTATGAGCACCATCAAGTTGTATCTTGTAAACTTCTGCGATGCTCTTCTGAAACGTGTGGTATCGACATCTTTATTGATATTTTCAAACAGTGACTTTATCGCAACAGTATCACATATTGTAAATACTAGTATAAATATTTCGTTCTTCCATCATTACTGTTGAAGAGTCGATACAAAAAAGAGACAAAATTAAGGAATTGTTTGGCTTGTATCTTCCCATTAAGGTTTAAGATTGCAATTGATTAGTCTGTTATTGGCATATGTGCATACTGTGCGTATGCCTCGATATTGCCTTAATTCACAAGCTTTTTGTAAGCAATGATGGATATTGGCTAGCAGTTACCTAGTATAATTTTAAAATCCCTTAAATGATCTTCAGCAATGTTTAGGTATCACATTTTCTTGGATGGAACATTTTCTTTTGCTGAATTGTCTTTACTCCTCTTTAATAATTCAGTGAACTTCTTTCGTTCACTTCTTACTTACTCGTAATCTTTACTTAAGACTAAATTCTTTTTTATTGAGATCATGAACCGATTGATGTTAGACCACCATGGAAAACCTGGAAGCACTGGACGGCCGTCTCGTCCTATTGTGGGATTCCTCAGCGGTGTGCATCCACGATCTCGCTCGGAGTTCTGGTGACAAGCCGCAACCAGTGGAGCTAATCCGTATCGGGTAGAAACAGGTGTCTGCCTCAGTAAAATGGAAGATTGTCGCGCAATTCCGTGGATGCGCATTGTTGAGGAGTCCCACAATAGGACGAAACAACCTTCCAGTGCTTTCAGGTTTTCAGTGGTGGTCTAACATCAATCGGTTCATGATCTCAATCAAAAACTTAACAATCTCTACAACCCCTAAACTAAATTCATGAATAACTTCGGTTTCAAGAATAATGACTATTCATTCTCAATAAGAAATAAATGAACTACTTAAATATCAGAATATACATTGCATTTGACTAACTTTAGGATGAATCTATGTTTTATTATGTATTTATTGTAAAATGTATGTGTCAATCTTTGAATTTCATATATAGCTTTCGTAGGTCATATGTACTCCTACTACATAATATAGACAATAGTTATAATGAACAAATATTATAGTGAATAAGTTTTATTAGGTTATTAAAGAAGTTATTATAAACATGGATCTACTTGTCTGTTGATATTTATTTATGCCTTTTGTAAAAATATCAGTATGTAAAACTATAATATACACTAGCAAATGTTAACACAAAATGCTGAGTCAGTCAATGGGTATATTTACTAATCTTTGTATTGTTATTTTGAATATCACTATTATTATTATCATCATTATTACTGATAGTTGTCCTATTCTGTACAGTAAATACAGAATAATAAAAGTCTATACATGGCTTTAAATGATAAACAATTAACATGTAAGCATAAAAGTAGTTGAAACAAAAATTGTTAATGAAATAATGATGACTCTAATTTGCTACTGAAATACCGTTTACATTTGTAGTACTATGTGCTAATCAATAACAATATAGTGAGTGACATATAAATACGTATATAAGTATTCTAAAATAGTTATAGGTTATAAATATAACTCTGAATTTATCATCGTTCAGTTGTAAAAAACTAAAGCTTAAAAGTGAGGCCCTCAATAAAGTGTTATGTTTTGTATGCCTAGTGTGGTGTATGCTACTGATGTCCATATATAAGTAGTATGTATCACCAATCGACAATTCAATGTCTGGCGACAGAAGATTGAGAAGATCTAAGAGAAGAGAACGAAAACAGAAAGTGATTGGTAAGGAAACGAAGGATCAATGAAGTCTGAGACATTTGATGGATATTTTGCAAATGATGTATTTATTTTTTGGTCTTCAGATTTTACTAAAGTGTTCTGTAAGTTTGTACTCAATCATATTTGGTTGTCTCCGCATGTGTTCTCGCTCATTACACTAGTAGTTTTAAAATGAGTATGATATATGTATCAGGAAAATTAGGTTGTAGCTTAATTATTGCAATAACAATCGATCAGTTATCCATTGTTTAATCTGGTTAGCGTTTTTTTAGCAGGGCTTTTTTCTACGGGGTGGGACTGCCGATCTCATGCCCAACCTTCTTTCTTGACCCGGGCTTGGGACCGGTAGTAACTCTAGAAGAGCTATAGACGGAGTTGAATGGAGAATGCTGGTGGGCGGCCTGTGCTTCTCCGCGAGAGTTAACAGGCGTAACTAAGTAAGTAAGCAATTATCCATCGTAGAACAGTTAAATTAGAGTTGAAAAAATCCTACTGAAAACGTGCAGTCTTTTTTTAAGACGAAATTAAAATTTGCACATTATGTTGAAAACAGCAAAATCGTTTGGAAAAAGGACCTATAAATTAAATTTACAATCCGATCATTGTACTGTTACTGAAAGTCCACCATGCTGGTAAACATAATGCTCTTGATTCAGACACATTTACAACACAGGTTTTATACCATCTAGGATGGTCATTCTTGTATATATAATATATTACTAAATCTAAGATTCATTGTTTTCAGTCCTGTCATGATTCATTACTTACGATAATGTAAGTGTGATCTTTTTTCAGAGCTAACATCATGGGGCACCTCAATCAGTTACAGTCAGTTGAATAACACAGGAAATCAAGTGGAATGAATTGAAAATACCATTTCTAATTAGAATAACATCAGTTTATTTAAGTTTGTTAAGTCTCCACAAATAGTTAACAGCCTGCTAAAAATTCTAATATTTTTAATAATTTCTTGTATTTTTATACCTTACTTGGAAAAAACTCACATAAAACGTTCTAAGCAATGATGGATATTGGCTAGCACTGGAGTCTAGGACACGCATTTCGTCCTATTTGGGACTCGTTAGCTAGATGTGCCTGCATATCACAGTCGATGTTCAGCCCAGAACTCAAAACCAGTACCATTCGCTTTAATTGTCATCGCGTTATCCACTTAGCTACTGGGTCCCTATAGCCACCTGCTTATGCAATGAGGTAAAGTTTAAATCTACTTAGTGAACATAAACTTTGAGATACAGATACATCTAGCTGACAAGTTCTAAATAGAAAGAATCGCGCGTCTTGGATTCCACTACTAGCCACTATCCATCCTTGCTTATAATGCTTGTGAATTAAGACAATATCGAGGCAATACAAACAGTATGCATATATGCTAACAAGAGACTGATCAATTACAGTCTTAAACAACAATGGGATGATTCAAGTTAAAAATACCAAGCGAACTCACCTGAAACGTCTACAAATAATTGATTGACTAGAACTATAAATATTCTCCAGTTAATTTGTCAAACAATAGCAAAGAAAAACGTTCAGAATCACTTTAAATTATTTCGAAACAAAGATTTCAATTTCATAGAGGTATAGGTTTAAACGTTTTTATACAGTGAATTTACAACAGTTTTACAGGAAATATATCTTATTCAACGCTATAAACAAAAACACAAGACCACTATTGATCCAA